AACAAAAGCCTGCAGACAGGGAAAAAATAATGCCGGAACACGAAATTATGTGCAATTAAACCAGAAAACTCACTTTCCATGCGACCCAAATTCAAATGGCAAGCGACCTAATTTTTGACCTAAGACTCCAAATATTCTGTTGTCAGCGCAGAGTTCACACAGGGTTAAATGGCAAAGATTGAGGAAGAAAAAGAAGGGGGGTTGGACTGCCGAAAAAGCTTGGACCAATTAACGCACTCGCTCAATTAAGTTGGAGGCATCGTAACTTGACCTAGGGCAGGCACGCCCCAGACAAAGCACTGAATTTAATTAGCCGCACATGACGAACTCTTCACTTTTCGTTCTTTTTCTGCAGCTGAATCCGACCGAGCCGCAGCCAGTGCCATTATTCCTGCCCGCTCATCTGAACAACAAGCCGATCTGCGACGACATTATCCGCAAGTTCTCACCCTCGAGGCGTCTGGAGTCGCGAGAGCTCGCCAAGCTTCTCGCCCAACCCCATTTTCGTGTAAGTAGTCATGGAAAGTGATTGGGAAAGCCTTTCACCACCTTCACTAGGTTATTTGTCTTACTTTCCACAGTCCACGTTTCTCGTGAAAATAAGGATTCGGTTCCAGGGATTAGGCAATAATTAGGCAATATTGAATTCTAAGTCTTTATTTTTAATAAACTAAGGAACATGGTTGGGAAAGCCTTTCACCATTCTCACTAGAAAGTAGTATGCTTAGGTAATTTATCTTACTTTCCACATTCCACGTTTCTCGTGACAATAAGGATTCTGTTCCAATGATGCCTTAATTTCAAGACTTCATTTTTCATTATATGATTAGTTAAATTAAAATTCAAATTTTTTTAAATTGTCTAAGATCATTTATTTTTGTGTAATTAACTAATACAAAAACTATTTTAATTTCATATAATTTTTTAGCAATATACACATAACGGATCTTGAACTTTCTGTAGTGTATTTATTTGTTCAAGATGGGACCGCTCTTTTTAAAGAATCCGTTTTTTTTGCTGACATAACTCAGTTTTAGGACCCCATATTTTTGCAGACCGTTCGAGTTTACAAATTCGTCTATTAAAGCTAAAAAGATTATGTACCTGTTGATATTCAACATGTGTCATAAAAAAAAATATATATATATTTGTTATAATTGAATTATTTCGTAGCTATAATTGAATTAAACTACTAATTAAGAAATAGGGGCATGTATTAAAAGTTCATTATAATATATTAATAACCAATATTTTCATTCAGGCCCTTTTGCGCGCCCATGATGAGATAGGTGCGCTCTACGAGCAGCGACTGAAATCTGCCGGCGGATCCACCACCCAACTAGAGATCGCCAGCCAGCGCCAATCGGGCGGCTACCTGTTCACCGAGGACATTCTCAGCACCAAGATGCCAGTGGAGACCATCAAGATGGTGGGCCTGCGCCGCGATCCCAGCAAGCCGCTGGGCCTGACCGTCGAACTGGACGAGTTCAAGCAACTGGTGGTGGCCAGGATACTGGCGGGCGGAGTGATCGATAAGCAGAGCATGCTGCATGTGGGCGATGTGATCCTGGAGGTGAACGGCACCCCAGTGCGCACCGCCGACGAGCTGCAGGTGGAGGTGTCGCGGGCCAAGGAGAATCTCACCCTGAAGATCGGACCCAATGTGGACGAGGAGATGAAGAGCGGTCGCTACACTGTGAGTGGGGGTCAGGTAAAACAGAATGGCATCGCGGGTCTCGAGACGGGCAAGAAACTGACGGTAAGTTCGATGTTCGCTTCAACTGAATTTTTATTCTCCTCCCAAAGATTGCTGCTTGATTGCATGAATTTTGATTAGTTGGGAGGTGACCTTATGTATTTAAGCTTCAAATTGTTTTATAGTTCAATGAAAGTTCAATAAATGAAATGGGAATTATTTAAAATAATTTTTTTACTTAAATCGCTTTTAATATATTTTAATATTTTGAATTGGCTAATAACTTACCTTTAAAATCCATTTATCAACTTGGAATCTTTTACCATAATTACCATTTTAAGGCATAGTTTATTGCTTTTCATTATTTTGATTTAGCTTTATCTCAAATATTGTTTGGCAAAAATATTTTTTTTGAAAACAAATTCATTAATAGACCTAACATGTAATTAAATAAATATTAGTCAGTCTTAAAACGAATTCCCATCAAAATTCTCGAATCGCTTGCAACTAAGTAAGTAAATCTTGGCTTAGTAACAAAAAAAAAACAGTTAAAAGCTTAATGAAATTTAAATTTAAATTTTTTTTTTGATCAACAGTGCTATATGCGTGCCCTGTTCACATACAATCCCTCGGAGGATTCATTGCTGCCATGCAGGGACATTGGATTGCCCTTCAAATCGGGTGATATTTTGCAGGTGAGTTGATATAGAAGAAACTCCATTAACCAAATATTATATTCTTATTCTTGTTTTACTCAAAAGATCATTAATGTAAAAGATCCCAACTGGTGGCAGGCAAAGAACATTACCGCCGAATCGGATAAAATTGGTCTTATACCATCTCAAGAGTTGGAGGAGCGACGCAAAGCTTTTGTGGCCCCCGAGGCGGATTATGTTCACAAAATTGGCATTTGCGGGACAAGGGTTAGTTCTTCTACACTGCCCTTAAATAAAGTCGAAGTAAATATTCATATATTTCCCTATAGATCTCGAAACGGAAGCGAAAGACCATGTACAGATCGGTGGCCAATTGCGAGTTCGACAAGGCGGAGCTTTTGCTTTATGAAGAGGTCACCCGAATGCCTCCGTTCCGCAGGAAAACCCTGGTCCTCATCGGCGTTTCCGGAGTGGGAAGACGTACGCTCAAGAATCGTCTGATTAACAGCGATGTGGACAAGTTCGGAGCGGTTATTCCTCGTAAGAACATTTACACAACATATATTTTAAAATTAGATAAAGCTTATAAGAAAGGATATTCGACCTAAAGTCAAAACCTTTCATCAGATTAGCACCCTCAAACTAATCTTTATATCGATAGGACCAATATTTTCACAACAAGATTTTTTCGTTTTTATACCCTTCGCAGTGAGTAATTTAATTATAAGGACACATTTCCTACCCTAGATCGGCCTACAATATCATATAGCTCTAATAGGAACAATCAGGAAAAAAAGAAATATGGTTTTAGTTTTACAAAAATCGGACGATTGTATCTTATGGCATTATACTGCGATATATATTAATTTTTTTGTTTTTAAAAATCGAAATCGAAATATAGAATATAATTATATAATATAATTTTGTAAGGGAAATAGGGGATTATACACTTCGGCTTGCCAAAGTTAGCTTCCTTTCTTGTTTTGACTTGCATTTTACAAACTAAGGAACGTTCCTACCTTCTTATAATATTCTAAATTATTATTTTAAATTTGAAGGTTTTTTAATAATACTTTATTTACTTACCTATCCACTTTAGATACCAGTCGTCCCAAGCGCGCCTTGGAGGAGAACGGAACGAGCTATTGGTTCATGGACCGCGAGGAGATGGATGAGGCCGTGAAGAACAACGAGTTCTTGGAGTACGGCGAACACAATGGCAATCTGTACGGCACCCACTTGCAGTCCATCAAGGATGTGATCAATAGCGGGCGTATGTGCATCCTGGATTGTGCACCGAATGCCCTGAAGATCCTGCACAACAGCCAGGAACTGATGCCATTCGTTATCTTTGTGGCAGCGCCTGGAATGGAACAGCTCAAGACGATCTATGCGGATCGGCGGGCGACGGGCTCGAATAGGAATTTATCTGTATGTTTGACGTAGTCCCCTTAGAGTTGGCACTCCTTTAATCCGTGCACGTATTCCACAGTTTGACCGCCAGAGTTCCATAAGATTCAGCTCAAGACGCGCCCGTACGCTCGAATCCCTGGCATCGTTGTATGAGGTAATGTTGCCTAACGTAGTCCTTCAGAGAAATTCCTTTAAAATGTGATAAATTCACTCATCCGCTTGGTGCACCTAGGCCACCCTAGTAGCCCTCGTAGATATCTGCCTGAATACCCAGACATTGCTTAACACATTCGATTTGTATGGTTCTTTTCAACAGGATGACGATCTGGTAGCCACTGTCGAGGAGAGCAGCTTTGTCCAGCGTAAATACGAGAAATACTTCGACATGGTCATCGTGAACGAGGACTTCGATGAGACATTCCGTCAGGTGGTGGAAACCCTCGATCAGATGAGCCACGAGGAGCAATGGGTGCCCGTCAACTGGATCTACTAAGAACGAAACACTACCCAAAAGCTATTGCAATTTCGACTTCCTGCTTTTAGAGAAAATATATACAACAAAATCTATTGCCTATCATCACAATAAAAGGGATTAATCCAGTAATTGAAGCTTAAAATCACAGCACAATACAAATCTAACAAAAAGCACGAGAAATCTACAATTTTCAATAATATTTTTTGTTGATTAAAGGTTTTTTGTAATGGATGTATTGTGTTTTGAAAACTATATGACGATTAGCTCAGTATAATACAAATCTAACAAAAAGCACGAGAAATCTACAATTTTCAATAATATTTTTTGTTGATTAAAGGTTTTTTGTAATGGATGTATTGTGTTTTGAAAACTATATGACGATTAGCTCAGTATAATCTGTTAATTTCAAAATCAATTACTGTTATTTTCCTCTTTGAATATCAAAAATGTATATATGCAATGTTTTGTATAATTTGAAATGCGCCCTCCGTTTACAATTCAGTTTTCCTTATGTCTAAGTCTATTTTTACGAAACGATTTCGTCCATTTTACAATCTCTTATTGTTTTATTTATACATACATAATGATTTATGTCGATGCATATCTCCTTCAGTTTATAATTTTAACGAATCTCCTCAGTACAACAATCCTTTCTGCCAATATTTTTCATGTAGTTTTTAGACTTGTTTGAATAAAATGTATAATTTTAACGAACTAGTTGAATATTGATGTGGAGTAAAACAAATAAAATACAAATGAATTTGGCTCAAAGAAATTGGTGATTTTGTTATCCTTTAGCCGGGGAACCAAAATAAATTTTATTAGCTGAATTTTAACTCTTAGAATGTGTGGGTCAAATGCCAAGCATTTAAGCAACTATATTTATGAGGATTTATTGGTAAATGCCCAGTGACTTCTCCACCACAGCGTGGGGCTGACGCATTTGCTCGCTATACTCGGGCAGATTCATAAAGTCCTCGAAACCGATAGAGTCGCAACGGCCAGTCAGAACATCATCCATGAAGTTGCTGAAATAAATAATTGAGAACAAAGAATGAGAAAATATACTGGGTGATGGAAATCAAACAATAATTAAGTTAAACAACTGTCATAAAATATGAATTGATCTATATTTTAAACAAATTGACTTAATGCTTAATGGACAAAGATAATATGTATTTAACGAAAATTGATTTATGGGATTCCGAAAATGAATTTCTTAAATAAATTTGGCAAGATGGTAAAGCGTCTTCTTTTTAAGGCTATTTCTTATGCAGGAAACACAATGAACTTTAGATCCGAGGAAAAATATTATATTTAAGTCAAGAAGTTGGCATTGATGGTTGTGAAAAAAAACGTTTAATAACAGGGTGGCGTAAAGCTTTAATTTCATTTCAACTATTTCCTATAAGTTGGTTTTTAGTAAAGGGTCTGATTTCTCAGTTTTGTTTTTGGTATTTTATAACACAGGTCGCGTTAAAAGGAAATGGTCAAATATAATTGACTATGTAGACTATATAAACATACTCCGAAACTTAATCTGAGTTGCCAATTTAAAACCTTTGGCTGGTATAAACGCTATTAAAACAAAGTCGGAAAACAAATAAACAACAGCTGATATGAAAAATCAGACTGTGTAAAGAGGCCACGACTGTACTAAAGATACATCACCGATGATATAGGTTGTGATGATATAGGATGCGATGATATAAAATGTAATGATATATGTTGTAATAATATAGGTTCCATGTGATTATATAGGTTCTCTGTGATTGAGATGGTATGGGCTCGACAGATTAATGGGTTGATGACGGCTTCCTAGAAGGTAATATAAAGAGGTTCCCTAGGATGGCACCCACCTGGACGGAAGGAAGGGCAGACGGCCCACCTGGCGGGCGGCGAATCGCTCCATTCCCATCTTGAGGGGCACGCCGAGTCCCTCGCGGTTGCGCAGCATCTGCATGTTGAGGTTGTACTGGTGCTCGTTGTAGTTGAGTTCCGAGTCCCGCAGCCGGTGGACGTGGGCCAGTTGGTTCAGGCAGTTGGCCTCAGTGGGCATTCCCGCACGGCCGGTGGCATTTAGCACGGTCACATCCGTGGGCTGCACTTTCAGTGATGGCTGGTACTGTACAGCAAGGAGTTTTCACTTTATTAGCACCTTTAATAACTGACCAATTCCATGTACTCACCATTTTGTATTTACTTTAGGGGATTTCAGGCTTTTTGAAGCGAATCTAGCGATTTACAAAATATCTTGTTGAATGACAAACAATTTATGTTAGAGCTGGAGCAATATTATCGATACTATCGATGTTTCCAGAACAAGTGTGACCAGATTCTACCAAATATCACTTTAAAATATACCGCAGAACATACTAAATCATATAAATCCAGGAGGTTCAGAACTTTGATAAAAATGTATCTAAAATCTTAGCGCTGTCTTAATCCATTTTAATTGCGATCTTTTTTAACACGGACTCAAACCGTAACCTTGCAAGATAAAGGCGGTAAATTTGAATTTATGCTTTTGATAAGAAAAGATTTTTAGATCAACAAAGTTAAGGCCAATCTGTAAATAGAATCAGTATGCAGTAACAGGGTAAAACGTTAAACATAATAGGAAGAAATAATTGCTATTTAAATGCTATTTTAAATGCTTCAATCCTGTTTTCTCACGTGAACTTTTGTTAGTTTTTTTATGAAGATATTGACAAATATTAAACTGCTATAATTTTTCATCAAGACCTTCAAGAGAACAAATATTATCTGGAGTTTCTCTACGTTAGTTAATGGATAGCAACTGAGAAAAGAAGACCTAACAAGAAATAAAATTTAAATATATTTAAAATCAAAATCATTCGTTTCATTAATTGATAGTGTCATATTAAATGTGTGTCTTATTACTAAATGAGTTTACCGGATTAAAAAAAGTAGCTTTGAGAATTTCTAAAGCATAGTCGTGGGAGAGCAATTATCCAATCGATTTACAATTTTCTTTGTGTGATCTACACATATTTAAATATTTAAAAAATCAATATAAGGAATAACGCACTTTCATTACAGTTTTAAATCTGAAATTTATGGCACTTTTAAATATTACTTTCTTTTCGTTTTATAAAATAACAATTTTTGGATGGCCAGACATCACTTTAATCCAATATAGTATTGATAAGTAAAATTTGGTCTATGTAAATTTGTTTTATTAGCGCGTTTAGCACTTTGGTCAAGTGACGAACTTGAGTGTTGTGATTAATTACACCCTCGCAACGCAAAATATATATCGAACTCGTCCGCAGCTCTAATCAATTCGATAAACAAAAGAATTGTTGGCTGGCTCGGGGCGTTGTTTTCCTTTTCTCGCCCACACCTTTTAGCGGCTTTTATGATCTTCTGCTCCACAGAGACGCGATTCATTTGCATCGAGTGACAAACGCGAACGAATCACACGACGGAGCTTAATTAGTGCATGGTCACTAATAAAGATTTCGGTCAGTGGATATTGTGTTAATCAATCCCCCGCACACAATAGCCGCAAACTGTCTCCGGGCGATCCGATCCTATCCAATCTGAACTTGAAACCGAAAGGCAGCCAAATAAAAACAATAACCGGATGGAAATGTGGCTTAGTTTACAAGTGGAAAAATATATATTTGCCTGTCATATTTTGAGCGGAAACTTAAGTGGTTTGTTATAGAATGTTTGTTATTATAGAAGGTTAAATAATAAAAAAAATCCGTTATGCTATATTAAGTTTTTATGCTAACTTTATTTTTGAACGAGAAATAAATTTTAATTTTTATGATGATTGAGTACACACATTATAAATTAATGCAGCACACTTATAGCGAACGCCATTTTAATGGCGTATTAAGTTAAGTATACAAAAATTATAATTTTCTTAAATAGACATTGATTGGAATTAATTAAGAGTAATAAAACAAGCAGAAAAACTCCATTATTTTATGGCCTCCCATTAATTCCATTTGTGTAGATTCTATTGGAGAACAAAATATTTTTTAACAATTTCTATTTGAATTATACATACTTGAAAATAATATTTAACAACACAATCAATTATTTGCCATATAAACATTATTTTTAATGAATGAATACTATATTTGGAAAATGACAATTTGATAAGTGAAAATAATGAAGTAGACAGTTCATTAATTTACAATCCCTATTTTAGAATGGTCATATTTATGTCGTCTTGCTGATAAATATAATATTAGATAATATATTTAAGATTTGTTTTACTACTTTGAGCTGTGTCAGTTATTGTTGATCCAACATACAATTATTATACTTCAAATTATACGAAATATAAAATATAAAGTTTTTGTCATCTTTAAGTCAATTTATGAATAATTTAGGAATTTGAAATATCTTTAGAAGGTATTAATTTTCTTTAAAATCGTAAAAATCTTCAAGTTATTTGTCTTAATAAGCACTCCCTTTTTCTTTCCCCTTCAAATCTCTTTCGACTATTGATTTATTGTGCTTACTTTCCGTTTTACGATCTTCGACCAATTAATACATAGTAGACGAGTCTGGAGCGAATCAACCAATTTACTCAACCGAATATATGGATGACCAAAGAGTCAACTATGTATGGTCCGATGAAGATCTCAGGGCGAAGAGATCGAAATGTAAAAGTCAAATAAAAGTATAACGTCAAGAATTAACATTTTTTCACAGCAATAAAGGCATAAAAGTCAAAGATGTGTACACAAAAAAACGAGGAAAGACATAGGCGCAACTGGGGGGAGTCGATCAGATCAGGGGATTCCTTTTAAAAACAGTTTGATGGGACTGGTATTCTCTATATCTATGGTTTTTATACGTGCACTTAGAAATATATCTTTACTTTAAGAATAAAACAAAAAGGTTCAAGCTTTTTTAAAAGTCTTCATTCCGAAGATATAACAATCAAAGGTCCAAATATATGTACAAATATTTATTTCAAATAGTATAACGACTAGTAAATCTTTTAAGTTCAAAAACAAATTTTGTCTTTCATTTTTGTTTTATTATAAGGATCGAAAAAAACATATTTATTTTAAAAAGTCTAAAGATTAGTAAATCTTTGAAGTTCAAAAACAAATTTCCAAGTCCTTTTTTGTTTTAGCACTTTGTTATCAGTCTGTTATGGACCCATTTCTTTTTTGTTGAAGACTTCATCAGATAATATATAATTTGTATTATTATTTTCACTTAAAGCTAACAACATATATTTAATTTACATAACAAATAGCAGGAGAAAAAAACCGTATTAAATGTTGAGTAGTATTTAAAGTAAAAATGCAAGATTAACTTTATTTTAGAAGGCTGAATTTCCCTCAGTGGATAAGTACACCCATTTCTGTATGACGTATGTATATGGTATAAAATTTATAATCTTTTGCAGTCGGTCTCCGCTGGACGCTGAATGCTGTATGCTGGCCATCGGTCGCCATTGTCGTCGCTAATAGAGACATACAACGGCCACTGGGAATTGATCACGGATCGAAAGAGAAGGAGGTTTCGTTAACGGCAGAAAAAGTTTGAATGTTTCGTTACTTTTCTCGGCTGCCATAAACTTTTATGGCTGCAAGACTCGGCGGAAGACGAGGACAATGGATTGGGATCCGGGATGGCAGCTCGGGGATCAGGGAGAAGAGAACAGGGAGCAGCTGTAAGCAGCCGTCGAGATGATTGGGCATTATGCCGGACCAGAGATCTTTCTTTTTTATATCCATAGGGGTCGCTGCCGCTTTGACGATCCTCCTCCCATGGGTGCCAATTAAGATACGAGGAAGAGGGTTGGAGCTGGGGCAGGGCAACTGCTCTGGACCCTATTAGCAGCCATATTGCCATGCACTGGGAGAATTGTAAGTTAAAGAAAAACAGCTCAAATAATATTGTGTCCCACAAAATATAACCGGTCAAATGTTTATGAAGCACTAACAATGTAAAATAATGATCTACTTATTTATTTAATTTATTGGTGAACAAATATTTAATTCAATTATTTTTTAGCCTATTTAGATACACCAATTACTTTCATTTTGAGCTCTAACCACAACAATATCAATTACTATTTTTCCTATGAGGACATGAAAGGTCATATTAAACGTATCCACATTTTTAGATAATTATTAGTACGGAATACAACTACATTAGTAAACGGAAAAAATGTAAACTCTATTGTTGGCATTAAAATTATTTGTGCAATTTGTGATAGGTAATTTTCAATTGGTAATTTTATTTAAAACTTAAAATAAACAAAGTATTTAAAAGTATCATTTTTCATATGATTTCTAGTTTTTTATTTTTAATAGATATATTAATATAATTTGACAAAAATTTTGAATTTCAGAATCTGACACTAACAAAGAATAGATTATCTGTTTAAGTGTTCTTATAAAAAAATAGCGGAAGATTAAGTAGGAATCTTTTTGAATCATAATAAATAACATTTTCACGAACAGCAATGATTAGTCTAAAAACACGGAACTTGAAAAATGTATTTATTGTAAAATATGTATGTATTTCCTTATATTTTCTGCTGTGCATGGTCGCCATAAAAGTTATATCCCGTTCGTGAGTGATCTGGGTAAGATCGCTCCGTACTTTTTATGGTCCCCATTCACTATGATCCCGATCCCCTCAGCGCCATTGGGCAACTGCCTTCTCATGAAACCAGATACATCGAACCATAAATCAACCGGCTGAGTGAGAGATGCCCAATTCCGTGATGCATTTTATCCATTTTTGAGAATGTCCAGGATATGTTTGGGAAAGAAATGGTGGATGCAAAACATAAGCCGTGAATTCATCGTAATTTTGGCAGCAGCATGTGTAATGCAGTAGCCAAGAAAAATAGAGGGTATACGAAAACAAAAGGTGTCGGCAAAAGTCAAAAAACCATTTCGTTACGCCAGGATGACCAAAGGCCAGCGACCAGAATGCAACGGGTTTAATGGAACGGGTTGAGTTGAGGAGTTCCACACAAATCGGGGAATGTTCATATGTACAAAAATATATATACATAAATATATCTGCCGATCTCTCGACATGTGCATTTGGCGTAACAGAAACAAATGCAAACACGCACTGCAGTCGTCCGCTCCCAATTTGGTATATCTTTTTTAGCGTGTAGGTGTGAAAACGTCGTCCACTTCCTTTATCTGGGGGTATCTGTTTCGGTTTTTTGTTTTATTTACTGCTTACTGGTCTCCCCGGGGTTTTTTTGCATCTTCGCTTACATAAAAGTCAAAATATTTTCGGTGCGAAATAAAATAAAACCCTGACGCTGTTTTAATCTTAAAAC